ACTTAACAATTGTCAATAAATATTAAATTTGACCAAACAAAAATAGATTTTTTAAATAAAAAAATAATATGATAGTTTAATTTGACGAAATTATTATTAATTATTTTTTTACATGATGATAAAGTACGATTTCTTTTTTTATTATCTCATAGCTATACTATTTGTTTTTCTCTATAGATCCGATACGAGATCAAAGGTTGAAAAATTTTAAACTCTAAACACGAATCCGTTTTAAGTATGTTATTCCATACCTATCCGAGAAGGATCAATGGTGTCGAATAACGTTCAAACGACTTTTGAAAATGACACCTATAAAAATGATGATGATATGTAATGCGCAGTTTAAAATAAACATACAAAAAATATACGAAACAGCAAGTTAACCAACCTTTATACAGCATAGTTCTCGTTACACTTGGTATTATAGTTGTATTGGAATATTGTATATTACRATTTTATGGGATTTTAGGTTTGTAAAAATTTAGATAAACACTAAACATACAAATTWAATAGTTTATATTTTGTTATTCTTTCTCTATTATTTGTTTGAMGGTATCAGTTTAAAGTTTTGATTTTGAAACAAAATTTTGAAATTTTGTAGCAATTTATTAAACTGATAATCCAAAACTGTTAATTAATTTAGTATTTGATATTTATGTACGTCACCTTTGTTATAATTTTGTTATACTTTCAAGTTTAAAATATAGTATAGGTACTCATAATTTAAAAATCAATATATGGTAATGAAATTGTGACAAATTAATATTAAACTAAACGATTAATAATATTAATTAAAAAAAAATTATAAAATTATAAATATTATTATACTGTGTATGCTTTAATTTTTTTTTTTAATTCAAATTTTCGAATGAAGGTATATTGCATTCCAATATATAGAGATTGTTCGTTGTTAAAACAATGCCTCTATAATATGCTACAATTTACATAAAATATGTACACTTAGTATATTTACATTAAAAAATAGTACGYTAGGAGAACAGCAATTTCTTTTTGATGACACAAATACTTTATCATTATTTTTTTACTAAATATGTTTCATCTGTTTAATTTAATGGGCATATTTATAATATTCGGTGACAAGGTTTTTCCTACCTTATTTATCGTATTTCAGTTATTTTTTAACAAACACCTTAGTATATTAGTCTACACGTTTAATATTTCAGAAAGATAATTTTTTTAGTGTTTTCTTATATTCTGGTGGCTGTATGGGTTCAACTGTTTTTTAGATTTAAACTATCTATGTTAAAATGCTATGCTGTATAAAATACCGTAATAATAATAATAATAATGGTAGTTATTATTAAGATTATTACTTTTATTATCGTCAGTGTAAAATAATAAGTAACGCTCGTCAGTTATATGTTTATGATTTAAATTGAATGCGCCTCGATTGTATCCGAGTATAATAATGCAAATTTCAAAAGCCCAAAAGCTTACTTGGAATACAAATGCTTTTGGACCCATTATGCGTAAGAGAAACATTTTATTTTCTCAACATCCTTGTGAATTATTTTCTTTACCAAGGCTATTTTGAAAGAAAAAATAGCACTTCTCTAGACCTGCGCTGATTTAATAATAATAGTTCTAAAAAGCGTATAATATTGTTAACTTAGCCTTTCAATTCAAATTCACTAAGCAAAACACTATAATTATAATTATGATTATTTGTTACTTAATAATTTAATAATAGTTATAAATTAACGCTGTTTAAAAAGATTTACAGTGTAAAATAAGACAATTAATTTCCATTTTTTAAAAATTGTATGTGTTAAAAAAAATATAAGAGTACCTGCCCAAAAATTGAAATCGATGAACTTCAACAAACGTATGTTAGTTTATTATTAAAATAATTATGGTTTTTTATTACTGTTATTTTATTAAATGTTTTTAAGTTATTAGGTGATTAATTTATATAKTGCATTACATAATTTATTAAATATGGAAGTATGACAATTTTTAAATGTTATTTACGGAGAGTTTACCAATTGAGCTTATAATGACCTTTTCATATACCAATATTGTGCTTGGTAATTTCCTTGGTCGATATACTAATTGTGCTTAATATTTTCTGAGTTGATACTGTTGATATAGAGCAATTACGCTCAGTTATTTTCAGTATTTATTATAATATTATAATTGATATTACAGTATATACATTTATAAAAATGCGTGTTAATAAACAAGCTTTTTTTATCAAATTTATTTTTAAAAAATTACAATGATCGCCAACAATAATTTAATGCATTTATAAATTATAATCTATCTAACAATGTATACATACAAATATAATTTAAACTTAATTAATCGCACACTATTTTAATTAAAGCGATTTTTTATTAAATAAATAAATAATGTTAATATTGTACATTCGTACGCATAAAAGTATCTATATACCTATGCTACATCTTTGTATTAGTCTGTACATACTAGTAGTATATTTTAATGTGCCTAACGTACCACATTATATCTTCGCATACATCTTCGTGCTAACCGTATTGTACTATTCTTCTCGTAGCCATGGGAGTAAGTATAATTTTTCATTCATATATGCGCACAAAATCGAAAGAGTCGAATCCATAATTTGGATAAACGTCTAAGGCCCGCTAAGATTAAATGACGTCACCGGTATATATGATCACGATATACGACTCTATTGCAATAAGCGATAAACGACGCCCGACAGTCACCTCGTAAACTTAGATCTAGATGTTGAGTGCAGAGAATTATTTAATTTAATGTATTGAAAATATTTGAATGGAAAGAAATAATACGATCCCGGACATGGGTCTTGCGTGATGTTGTGTTGTACAAATATACAATGATGATGATGATGATGATGATGATGATGATGATGATGATGATGATGATGGTGATAATGATAATGATGACGATGTGGATTGTAAGCGAAAAAAGTAATCACTGGTATTGTCGACTGTTGTCAAATAATATATAGTAGCCGGCATTCGATTCCCCTGATACGCGTGTCATTATAATAATATTGTTATTCCAAGGGGTCAACGAGATYGCATCTTACGTCCTTGTGGGATGGATGGACGTATAGCGTTTATTATATTATTATGTATAAACACGATTCTATACAGTATTGTTATTATACTACACTTTGAAGTTAGTGGATTACTCATACTATTATTATAATATACATATAAATGTATATATATATACGTACATATTATATATATATATATATGTACTTCTGTGACACTCCGAAGTGAATCAGTGAAATGGCAGCGGTAGCCCGTGAAATATATAAGAAGTATACTTACACTGATCGAGTGAAGACTAAAAACAAACCCTTTGACAAAAATAAACATATACATATAGGTATAGTGTAATAAAAACAATACGCGTTTAAACGAATATAATATAATATTATTTATCTCAGTGGCGTACACACGGGGGGGTGTTCAAACCCCCCTTTAGTATTTTTTTAGTTTACGTAATTACGTAAAAATGTATAATAAAAATGATGACAATTTAAAAAAAATAAATAATAGTACTAATAAAAATAAATACAAAATTAAATTAAGGGAATTTCAGTATTACCGTCACAATCGAGTTTCGATTAAAAATGTACGGCGAGAAGGCCGTCCTCACCGAAGTTATTATTAGATATGGGATATTCCAAATTATACTCCATTATATTATAATTTATAAGCGACCCAGTTTTTTGCTATAATATATTGTACTATTGTAAATATTATTGATAACTTGTTACAAATTAATGAAATTATTGGGAAATTTGTTTAAACACAAACATAAGGGTCGACAATCGTAGAATATTTATGGATCTGTGTAATCACTAATCCGATATAAATGGTGACCAGACGTACTCTTTTTCGCAGGACAGTACTCTTTTTTTGATGTGTGTCCTAGTGTCCTTAACAATAGTGTTAAGTACATAAAATTGTACTCTTTTAAAAAATATATATAAACTAATACGTGTTTATGTGTTTTTGCTGTTTTTACTGTTTTTTATATTTTGATTATTACTACCGTTTAGATATTTACAACGATGGACATAACCAAATAACTAACATAACTGAAGATAATTTTAGAAAATTTTATACTTGGTATTTTTACCTTTAACAAATAATTTATACTTAAGTTTACTTAAAAAATCTTAAATTTAAAGTATTTTCATCTTAGACACACACCAAATTAGTTGACATAATTTCAAATAATAAATTTTAATTGTTGATTATAGGAAAAAAATAATAGGGTAATCAGATTAAAAAAAAAACAAATTATATAAATGGAGATGACCTATGCCCGCTATTCGCTAATAGCTATGGTATGGGCAAAATGGGTAGAAAAGTACACACATTGGTTAATTATGACAGAGGAGGACCTAAGTTTTAAAATGTACTTTTTTTTGGATTTTTATATCTGGTCACCTTCATGATGTAATATGCCTTAATAGCTATCGCAGTATCGCTAATACTTACTATAGTATAGAATCTATTTCTCAGTTTTCAATCAAATTCCTGACGCTATAGACGTTTAGTAAATTGTACTTACTGTTTAAATATTTTATAAAACAATAAAAATGAAAAGAATAAACCAATATTTTTCTACTAATAGTACACAGGACAGATTAAATGGATTGACCATGTTGTTGGTATACCGTAATATAAATCTAACTCCTGAAGAAGTCATTGATGAGTTGGGATAAAAAGGAAAATAGACATTGTTTTATAATGAAAATAAATATTAGTTATACAACATATTATTTTGATTTGTCAATGTATAATATATATAATTTTTTATATGTAAGCCCCTCCCCCCATTGAAAATAGCTGTGAACGCCACTGATTTATCTTATATATTTTATAAAACATATACGAAGCAGTTACATATAGCTGCTGTTGTATACCTACTCGGCTACTCGTATTATTGTTCGCCCATAATCTATTAAATAATCTAATTGTATCATAATATGTGTATATGTGTGTATGTAGGAAAACCGGACGTGACGGAAACCCACAGTTCTCGGCCAACACGGAAACGGCGCACCAGTTCCAGGAATACACGTATAAGAAAATTACACCGTGCGATTTTTGTTCACAAGTCCTTAGAGGTAAGTTTCTCCCAATTTCTTTTATGTAAACTTTTTTTATATATAATTACTGCTGCGATGATAATATTATCATCTATATTATGTTATTTGGAAATTATTTCTAGCCCCCAACTATTTCTGGGCGTGTGATACATGATTATGTATCGTTATTTTTTCGGTTTTGATTCAACGTTTTAAAATCTTATCATGTGAGGGGTACGTCTAATGATCAATCGTAATAGAAATAGCAATAGGGGTGGCAAAACTATGTGACGAATCGAATACCCACGTGAGGTGAACTTCTCCCCCACCACATCAATAAGAAATCGGTATTGTAGATCGAAATTTAAGTTTAATCTTAATCATTAAGATATTTTAGATGTTATCCGAGATACCGAATGGCGAATACCGTAAAACAGTAACCACACCACACTGCTATCGAGATGGTGTACCTGAATTGCCTATTCGAAACGCCGTGTAACCGGCGTTTTGTTAGGACATAACAATTGAAACGTGTTAGACAAAATAAACGTATTTGCTTGAGAAGGTTAAAGGTTAATTAATCCTACATTTATGACGCCATAACACCAGATTTATAGTTAAAAAATGTATTAATTGTGTATAATGTATATTTTTCACCCAGTCCTCATCAATAATAATATGTTTATTGTTTACGTTATCGAGAGCAGCAATAACAGTTACTTTATATTGCCATTAATTGGAAGATCCTATAAGCTATTTTACTGTGACTTATACTTTATAGGTAGTTATACTTATAATATAATAATATTAAAAATTATTCATTATTTAACAGGCCTTTTGTATAATATAATATTACCCAAAACCATGAAATATTTTTCGTGCAGAAGCTATTTTTTTACAGTTATAATGCTTTTCAAATATTTGTTTGAGGTTTTATATTACCAATTAATATAATATTAAAGCATTACAACTTGGTATCATATACTATCATAACTTGACATAACTTAACATAACTTAACATAACTTAATATAACTTACATAATATTACTCGTGTATAAAACGTGGTGTTAAATCCGCAGCATCGAAATAAGCTCAAGGTGGGGTGGACAGATGTTCCATAAAAGAGTTTTTCAAAATATTATTGACCCCTCAGCGTATAACAAGCGTTTATATGATATACATATACCAACATGGCGATTCACGTGTTATCATACTCCATGAGATTTTATTCAAGAGTAGTGGCATGTTTTCAGAAGGTTTTTCATAGCGAACTCAAAATTACACACTCAAAACGAATTTTATCGCTTCAAGATGATTATTCTTTTAGTTATATGACATAATAAGTGTGGAGTAAGATATACACTATACAGTATCACTGTTATATTCCGTAAAAATAAATATTTTGAAGGCTACATATAAATAGTAAAAATATGTTTTGGAGCCTAACGCTTTTATGTACAGTAATAAAAATTTAATCACATACAATTAAAATCACCAATATTCAAATTACGTTAATTTCACACAATTGCGATCATGTCATATTTCGTGAGTAGTGTCTACTACTATTATATATTATATCCGTTCGCTTGAAAATTTTATTTGTATAGTGTCAGTAAAATGTATGCATTTTAATAATAATATGCCCAAAAATAAAAACTATTTCTATCTCGGTCTTTCACCAGTTGTAGTCCTACACACATTTCTGATTTTAAATTATTGGCAATTTTGTTCTTTCATTTTTCGGCATAGATTCGGTGAGCATGCTTAGAAAAATATTATGGCCTAAAATTATTAAACGCAATTAAATTAATATAGATAGATTCAATGATTATATATTATCTAATAGTTATCTATTGTTATATTGAGTGACCTATGTACATTCTACATGGTATTATTGAGTATTACGTCGTAGCTGTCGACTGCACCAKTATCACGAATCTACGAGTATGTCGAAAACAATACTTTTTTAATATAATATAATACAGTCAATTCACGTTGAAAAAAATAGTGTTTCGAATTCAATGTCCAAATTTGACATCGGAAAATGTCACAAGRAAAAAAACCACCGTTACGAACCAAAATACTGTGTGCGCACAATAATATATTATATATAATACGTTCTGACGTTTCCGTTTGTCTATAATTATACTAGCTCTTACAAATTACATTTTTTTTTTACACCCTTTCCGGTTTCCACTGTTTTAAGACTGATTCTGAGTAAAAAATAAAAGTACGTGATTATACTTTTTATACATTATGTAGCGAATTCATCGATTTCTCGAAAACGTGACTTCTATGGGAATTTCGTTTTTCGCATCGACGACATCGTATTTTGTCAGAACTATAAGTCTTTCTTTTTTTTAAATCCTCGCGTCTTAGAAAATTACGACAGCGAACGTTCAAGTATTATAGTAGTACCGCGTAGTAAATAATAATATTTATACAATATCAGTAAATACAATCAAACAATCGTGTGTTTATGTGTTTCTGTAGACGAATAGTATTTAACACCATTCGACTTACAACGGAACATTTAACGAAAATCTAATCTTCTAATCTATGTAAACGTTCAACCCACGCAAACGTTGCCAGGTCTATCATCGAAATTAGGAAATAAAAATAATCTTAAAATGCCAGTTATACTATTCTATAATAACTGTCGGAAAACCTATTTAGAGGCGCCAAGCGCCCTCAGCACCGTCACGCCAAGTCGCCAAACATATAAACAACGCGTTGTAATATAAATAGTAAATACAATATTATTATTGCTTGGTACACACATTGTTATAAATATATATAATATGATAGTGGTTTTAGTGGAAATAACGTTATTGTACGATATTTACCTCTGATATATCTATATTGTGCTTTCTGAATTATATATATTGTAGCATTTTCCATTCGGTTCACGTATTCGACTAGGCGGCGGGCGACAGTGGCAGCATTGGAAGCCCTAATCGAATCCAATTTGTATATCGTCCTCCATGGCCGTTGAGACCTGCGCCCGGAAGCCCTGAAAATCTAATTTTGTTTACACACTCGATGCCTTGTCTACCCTTCATCATGCCATCAGGTGCATAAACGTGAAATCTGGTGATGTGTGTATGCTTAGTATAATGGTGGGTTGTGTGGGCATGTACGGGGGGAAGGAGTGATTGAATCCACGTGTTGTATGTTTTCATACATAGTTACTGATGATGGTGAAGGAAGTAAAAGCGGCATGTGTGAGCATATAGTAGGTAACCTTTATTGTTGTTTTGAAAAAGATAATTTAGTCACTGCATTACTCGTACGACGACATTATTTTCTCCTATAAAATAGCACAAGAAACCAGTTCGATCGAATAATTATTTACATCTTATGTTTATTGGTACGAATAAACGTATAGGAAATAGTGTCCGAAAAAAAATATGCACTCAACAGTGATTAATGTAATATGTATAAGTATATTATTTCTATATTGTGCAAACGTGCAATAATGTTATATTATATTCGTACGCTAATTTATTCAGTTCAAAATTTCGAAATTATGTATTAATACAACAATCAAACCTTCTTGTTAAATTTGCACAAACCATGCACCAACAGTCAAATATAACAACAAATAACTCATTCCCAGTTTTCTTATGTTTTTTACATTTTGCTACCTTATCCAATTCACCTCATTAACCTAGTTTTTACAAGTTATCAAATTAATATTACTATAATATTTGATAACACTTGATATCTAGTAGCTACACCTCATCTTGATTCCATAACAACACGCATGAGAAAATGTTTTCATATTTTTGAAGAACTACGTCACACTCTGCTAAATGGATTATTTAGATATAGTACAATCAATACCAAATTATGATATAATATTTTAGGGTTCTACCTTAAAAAAATGCTCTTGAAGCACTTACGGTAGTGTATAGGAATCAGAATTATACTGAAGCAATATTATAATGAAAACAATGACACTAATGAAGTGTTTAAAAGATTTTAAACAAATATATAAATTAATAACTATCAAGTGACTTTCTGACAAAAAAGCAATAAACAATTTAATATTAATGAAAAACTAATATGAAATAAATAATGCGAAAATCAACATGAAAGGGAAAAAATTACTAGGTACTAATTAAACTTTATAAATACTACAATAACTATAATAATATTATACATGTGTACAACTTGCTAAAAAACTTCTAATAATTGGTAATTATTTTTAATTTAAGCTTGACATTAAAAATATAATAATATATAAATGATTCATTTGTTATGGGTCACATTGTTTAATTGTTATTATATAATAAGATATATAAATTACATATCGGATTCACACAGTAACAAAATATTGTCATAATCATATTATATGCATGTATACCATAATTGATGTACATTTATTATATATTCTTAATATTACTTTTTTATTTTAATTGATTTAAACTTGTAAAATAATTAGACTCGAAAACACAAGCATTAGTTATAGACTATTAAAAAAAAAAATAAGATATACTTTATTCCCCCTTAATTTTCTCGGCTTTAATCGGCTTTACTATACGGTGCGTATATCTAATCAATAATATAAAACTAAAAGTTTGATAGTGAAAACATTATTTAGTTATATATAACATATGATATATTATATCTTAATTAGATATAAATACTTTAACACGACGATATCCGATCACGATGACCCGTCGTTTTCATCAATTTTCGACATAGATTAACCTTCTTAGTTGTGTGTCCTGATCTCGCATTGCTTCGTTCAATCACTGATATTTTTCAACATAGTTTCAGTTTCACGGTGTTCGATGGACGGATATCGTTTTCCTATTTCTCTCGTGTGTGTGATAGAGAGAGAGAGAGAGAGAGAGATAAAGAGATGATATTATATCCACACATGGCGGTGTTCGCGGTGTTGTGTCATCAGTGGTATTCTGTAACCCAAAACGCTCGTGCCATATAATATATATATTTTGCGTGGAATCCAATATCTTTTTACGCGAATATTGTAAATCAATGTCCTCTACGTGTAAATTTATAGTGTAATACAGTGAAACATTGTTAACGACGACGAAAATTGAATGTATGTAATAATAATAATATGAAGTTTGGAAAAAATGCGTCACATAGTTATGCGCATATATGAGATGCATTGTGTATGAATTCACCTTCTCAGCACACGGTTTATTTATTATCAACTTTCTGTAAACATTTTTGACACCTAACGCCAACGATTTCATCTGCAGTCATCTATTAAGCTACGACAACCTGTTTTAAACGGCATTGTCCCTTTATCGAATTCCGGCAATATCACAATGAGACGACGATAACTCATTTTGTCTCTTACTCATGTATTTGGTGTAAATCTGTTTCTTTTCTGATTTATTTGATTTATTTGTTTTGTTTTTTTTTTAACAAAAAACTTATACTTAACCACAATGTTTTATTTTTGCAATTTAGTCATGCAGACTAATGTTTTTAGACATGTGTTTTAAATAATAGTCAAACGTACGTTGTTGCATATTAAAATTGAAAATCTATTAAACAAAAAGAATTTCGTTATTTATTAAGTTAATATATGATATTTAAAAAACGTAATTTTATATTTGGTTGTTTAGTTATTAATTTTCTTGGTTCTTTAGAAAATGAACTCATCAAAGAACCTTGAAAAATACTGTTTATTTATAGAAGTTAGTTAAAAATAACAAATCCATCTAGCTGTACAGAATATTCCTTTGGGCATTTTATATTTGTGTTGTTTATTTTAAATACTAGACCATTGAAAATACATTAAACTTAACTTTAAGGTATTTCGCACTTAAGCACATTTATTATTAATATATTAAAAACAACTTGTAAAAACATCTAACCGAAAATTCTGGTTTTAGTGGTTTTTATTTTTTTATTTTTGTCATAAATAAATTGTAATTTTAAAATTACAATTCGTAAAGAATAATAACGTTTATCTTATTAATAATGTCTATTTTTATAATTTACGTGTAACAATAGGTACTTGTGATTATTTGTCTTTTTTTTAATAAACCCCTGTCCGGTAATTATATTATGATTTTTTACATGTTATGATTATTGCAAATCGTTATCGAATTAATTATGTAACGCATACATAACATCGGTGTTCTCATAATTCAAAGCGTATTTTCGCCATAAGTTTAGTCATAGACGTATTATATAGTTCAGACACATACTATCTACACGACTAAATGTCGAATTTTGAACATCGATTTGACTATACGCACGTAATTGGCACGGCCAAAAGAGAAGCGCGAGAAAATATACACTACTTGTGCACAAGTATTTTGATTCCGACGATTCCGCTGAACGATGGCGTCGAGTATTAATAATTGTTGTATAACAGATAAACAATTTAATAGGCGCTGAAATGCTAATAAACTCACYGCCACTGTTGAAAATATGCGTAACGGCAGGTATAAATTATGCACGGAATTTCGTACGACGATTAATAAAATGTATTACAATGTATATTGTATACATTATACATCTTTAGAATGTTATATATTATATATGATATGGTATATTGGTATATACCAACGGCGGTATAATAACACTTTAAAAAGCACGCACGTCGAAAATTATACATAATACTTAAAACGCGCATACTTCATAAAGAATGTCGAGGAGTCTAGTCTTGTACACACAACACACAACGCGGCGGCAGTGGTGTGGGTAAATTAAGCCTGTATAATAAGAAATAGTAATAATATACACAGCGCGCTCATAAATTGTGCACAAAAGTTTTAGAAGAAAATGTGTAATATTTTTATTTCGTAAGTATGCAAGATGTTTCAAAAGTTTTAATCAAACTTATAATGGGTTCTGCCCAGAAAAATCGAGYGAGACCAATACAATATTATGATTGACACCCCCGTCCACCAATGATTCTGACAAATTCGATAAAACATTAAAACCACCTAAAAAAACTGAGTTAAATCACAGTCATTGAATAAAGMCATATATATGTATATGAAATCTTATATAAGTAGATACTGAATAATCTTATTGTTAAATCGTATCGTCCAAAACACTATTTTTCGAACGATATCTTTTCATGTTTTACGTGTATTACTATTCGCTTGTTGTCAGGCATATTATGTGTTGTGTAAATACTAAATAATATGCTTGATAAAGTATAGTTTCTCCTTTTAATAAATTTTATGACTCACTAACTTATGAGGGATTTATATTATACACGTRCCGTTTAATTTCCGATAAAATATCAAAAACACGAGTTATGTTAACAAAATATATAATAATTTAGTTATTCAAAACAGTTGTAGTCTCTGTCAATACGTAGCTTTGAAGTCGATAATTCGTTTAGATTTTTTAAAAACAAAAAAATGCCTTAACCCATAACAATAAAATCAAGTACTGGAATCATTGTAATTAAGAACGTTGGCCAAAACTTAGAATTGTTTTTATTGATATTACTTTCGTACACATCATTTTTCAAAATAAAAAAGATATTTTTTTCCRACGCAATAAATTCGAAAATAAAATTAACCTTACGCTCTATGATTCGATTCCGTGAACAAGATGAATACCGAATGGGATCAAGATAATCTTGAAACCTTTGACCTTTGGTGAAAATGCAAATATATATAACAAATCGATTTCAAAAATATACCTTAAAAATAATGAAATAAGCAATCGTGACTACGCAGTTATTTTACTTTAAAATGTGAATATAGGTATAAGTATAATAGAAAAATAAATCGAAAAATCATATTAAAATTTCGTTTGGATCTCACGTCTTCTCATTCTGTCAATATTGTGTTTTAAGACATATTATAAAATGGATACGTCAAAATGACTGAAGAATAGACTTGACTGAATACATTGTTTAAAAAAAAAGATTTCCATTTAAAAAAATACGTTGAACTACGCATACAGGGAATTTTAAACATTATAAATTATCCCATATAAAAATATGATTATGCCCACACAATGAATACCTCCTCACTAAATCTATGAACATGTCATATTATATAGGTCATTGATCACTTAATTATTTAAAACGGTTTTATTCGATTGATCTCTTAGATGGTTCTCTTCATATTTCAACGATTGAATACCCGCTAATTCTAAGTAACTGAGATTTAAGCATATGGCTTCAATATTTTTTTTCATATCGAGTTTTGCAAGTTTTTTTTAAGAAGGCTGTCATCTTGTTGTTGTCCTAATAGTCTAACATCTTGTGATCTAACTCGTATTTGAARGATTTGATTATAATATGTTTCACTGCAGTCAGTTTAATCTGTAACACCACAGATTTCACAAGAGATCCTCTCTTCATACTTTGATTAATTTTTTTCCTTTTTTGAGAGCTGTTTATCGACCTGCTGGTAGTTCTGAAGTGAAGATCTACATCCACTAAGTTTCTCGAATGTACTATACATTCTAGTATAGTKTGTTAGAGTATTTAAATTTTTATTTTTAAGGGTGATTTATTTATTTAAGTTATTAAGGATTTGATTAATTTACTCTGTATTTTTATTGAGATGTTTCAGAGTTTGAATTTGTTTTTTATGCTACTTAAAGTATCACGCATTTTTTTTTTTTTTAGAACTTTCAGTAAAAAAACTATTATAATTCAACAATTAAAGAATATCACACATTTATAATCTACATTATTAACGTAACTCGTAATTTCACAGGTCACACTAGACAAGGTCTCAAGTGTCGGGTGTGCAAAATGAACGTGCACTTGGACTGCCAGGAGAAAGTCACCACTCGGTGTCAGGTGAAGTCACGGCTGTTGCGCCGTCAAAAGTCTACATCAGAGATCGAGACGAAAATGGCGGCAATGAACGTGGCGGGCCGCGACGACGATGAAGGTAAGTCGGAATATTGGTTTCGTACACATCCCATACAATGATAATATAATAAACTATACACAATAAAAATAGTATTATTGTAATAATTGTGATTATCATGACGTTATAATTTATTATATTGGCAATGTCTCGTGCCGAAATAATATTACAGGACGCACGTATAATAATTATACGACACACGCATGTTATAATTTCTTATAGGTATCTACGAAATATTTCTGATGTGTATTAAAAGTAATTTTCATTGAAGTATGAATTAGTAAAATCTTCCAAATTCTCGTTACCAATATATTTATATATAAAGTATTAGTTTAGTTCACAGGATGATAATGTTTTTTTTTTTTAAATATCATATAACAGAGAACTGTGGGGCAACATTAAGCGTTCTCATTCCTTTTGGTTTTTAAATAATTTCAGACTCTTAATATATTACTTACTACTTACATGCGGGTGTTCGTATAACGTTTATACTGTGTATGATGTCCGTATAATATCACATATATGCTATATACGTTCAAGAACACTCACCATCAATGTACATAATATTATTATTATAACTTAAATATATGTTATATATATATACACCCCAATCGCAAAACAGCGAAGTGTTATTATTTTATTTTCATTTATTTTTAATTTTTTTTTCGTTGTTGTTATTATTATTATTATTTAAACTTATTATTACTAAAAAATTCAGCTTTCCAAAGTCGTTGTGTACATACAATTTATGTGTACATATACGTTTTATACGTAGTAGGGTTGTAAATAACAATGAAATATAATATATATATATATTATTCTTACGGAATTTTTATAATTATCTCCTGTTTTTATTTTATTTTTTGTTTTTATTTTATTGGTGTATAAAATCCATGCACGTTGTTCAGTTTGATTGATGTGTTTATATATATATATATTTTCTATTTTAAACGTTTAATTGTTTATTTTCTCATTTTATATATACATAAAAAATACTTATTACCCATAGGTACCTATACGTTCACTATATACTCGTAGAGTTAGGTACTAAATTTCTATCATTCGATGTGCTAGTCAGGCGAAGGTTGTGTATTTACTGTTTACCTATAATAATTTCCTATCATAGTTATCATTATATTATATTATATATATATATATATCATTATATCATTATTATACCCATCACCACGACGATCGACCACCGTACACAATTAACCGAATGCCCAAAGTGTTTATATCATATTAATAATATTAGTAAATAAAGTAATTATTGTTGTAGTATATATATAATTTAATATTGCTTTGCATACTAATTAAATACGAAATATATATTGTCTAATATTGTATATAWATTATAAAGAATTACACCCATAGACGGTTCATTGTGGGGTGGCGTCGACCGTATACGTTTTGCATATACAGCACACTAATAATTTTAACTTCAAGTTCACCACTGTCAACTGTGTACTATATATTGTCGCACCRCCCACGCCCTATATATTGGCCACTGTCACCACTGATTGCGTTCCTGGTGCGCAATAATGATAGTGACTTGTGGTATGATATGGGTGTGCAGTGTTCAGTGACGGTGCAAGAGTATATTTTTTACTTCAAAGCTTCGATCTCGGAACGACAATTATTGTTTTTTTTTATAATTGTATTTATTATTATAATTAATACAATTATTGTTAAATTCTCAAACGTTCATATATCACATCCAAAATGAATGCGGTACATACACGACATGGATATGATAAAAATTTAAACGTCTAAACGACTAACAAAAATTTGCACCGTCACAGTGTGTCATATCCCGCGCACGGTAAATTGTTTAGAAATCACATARTTGTTCGTAAAAATAGGTTTTTCCTCCCCTCTCTATCATCTTCAAACGTATTCGATATACATTTATCTAGAGATCTGCAGATTTTTTTATGCAAAACAATATTCGTTAATTAAAACGGCAAACGGTTTGGATTATGCGCTTGAATTTAAATCTAACWCTTAGACGATCCGTCGTCGCATCACGGAATTATTTGAAAACAAACAGATGGCACAAAGTTTGCGCAAGCTACAACACTATAATATTATATATATATATATAAATTTGTGTGTGTTTAGTTGTATATTATTATAATACTCGCCCCATTGTCGTCATCATCTTTGGTACATCCTACCCTAAACACACAGATTGACCCGTTCACAGGCGGTTGCCCGTKGCATGGAACAGTCTCTATAATAGCTTCTATTTATATAATTATATCTATGACTATATATTATTAAAGTTATCTTAACTAATAATTATTCTCTAATGTTATAGAGATTCATGCATTAATGTATTATAGGTTTAAATTTGACACTGGCGATTTGTTTATTTGTTGTTTTACGATATTTTTATAATTAACACTTAATATTTCAACAAATTACTAGGTAGGCTAGCTTACAATTTTACTTACACAAATTTTAAAACCATCGTAGATAAGCTACCTATACAAAAGTATACTATTTGCTTATTCTAAAATTTATGACTTTCTTACTAAATTCAGAACAAGCAATACAATTTTTATTGATTTTTTTTAAACAAATCATTGCAAGTTTTACATGGGTATTAAAAATTATTTACGATATTATTTACTTCAAGTCTTCAAAGTATTATGGATTGAAAATCAAAGTAATTAAAAAATAAAACAATAACATGAGTCGAAAACTATGATTTTCATCTTTGGGTTCCATATGGTTTTTCATTTTGTCATTAACTTATTATTTCATATTCATTCCCATCAATAACGAATAATAATTTTGCTTCAATGTTAATTAATTGATTACACAGACATCAACTCTGAGTTATTTTTTTTATGCAAGCAAATTTATTAAAATGTTTTATATTAAGTAAAGGTATTATTAAATATATTTTCTACTTGTATGATATTCGGTTTTTCTAGAACTACTCAACATGCATTATTACTGTTATTTAATTCATTTCGCTAATATCCAATGAATAATATAATTTAAAACGTCTATTGGCTAATAATTTTTAATTTATTATAAAATAATAAAAATGACCTAGKCAAATTAAAAAACCATCAAACAATAAGGATATTTTAGTAATTAATGGTTTGACGTGGATACGTACAGATTATACATTTAAACAAAAGAAATACATTTTGATGGGTTTTCAAAATTAAATAAATCACAATTAGGATGTAGTTCAATTTACTTATCATAACAATATAAYATGACGTGGTAAGATGTTTGAACATGTTACTTTATTTAACCAATTTTGTTGACCTAACATAATACGATAACTCGTGTGATTCAAAAACGATAAACTCCTAATTCAATTATTATTCCTCGAAGAAATATACAATGTCAGATTCAGATCCGCACAAATCATAATAATATAAAGAAAATAATTAATGGACGTAGGTATATACCTAATGAMGTGCGTTTAATCGTWCAAGCATGAAGTCGTATGTATATAATTTGTATTATTATGATATGATTCTTACTATTCCATTAATTTCAATTTCCACCTAGAGCTATTTAGTGATGAATATATATTGTAACTTGTGAACCTGAGACATTCATTAAAGTTCTCGCTTATATTAATATTTATGTAAAAAATGAGATTTTGCTCTCGAATTTCACAAAATAAGAATAAAATATTATAGGACCATAATATATTTTAGGTAGTGGATACGAAATCTGTTTGTTTTTAAATTCATGCGTGTTTGAGACGATGGAATMAATTTTTAATTTCTCCAATCAAATCTTGAAATTTAAAAGGAATTAAAGAAAAAACGATTTAAAGCCGATTCCGGCATAACACACCATAAAATAATAACGATAAACGATATAAATGCATGTTCTTTAAAATATACAAATTAAAAAAATAAATAAAAATACTTTTGTTACGACATGTCAATRTACCGAACTCATATTATAGTAATAAATACATAAGATAAACAAATTTTTAATTAATAATTTACCTAGAAATAATTATTTGTTTTTAGTAAACAATAAATATGATGAATTTCCACAAATAATTTTATTCTCATTC